TGAAAGTTTGCCTATGAGGGACATTCGTACGTATAAAGTTCACTTTGAAAAATCGTAACGCATAATTGTAACTCACTCAACTATCGCCTTAGACCGCCAAATTGTTATATTACCTCTGACAGTATCAAAGCTAAATTAACAGCTTAAGAAACCTAATCCTTCAGAACTCGTCTTAGCTGATCTTGTATTGTGCACTTTGCAGCATATAACGTACTAAATTAGTACGTATCAAAATATGTGATCATGGCTGATCATACGATCAAAGTCGCGAAGTTATAACGCGTCAATAAACAATACATATTTATAAATACTTTCTTTTTTCTTGTTATTTCATACTATCTCTCACTATAATATTTACAACTACTTTTTATCGCCTTTTATTATCTTTTACTATCTTTTACATTTTTTGTTTTTAAATTATATATATATATATTTTTATTGCCTTTTATTATCTTTTACATTTTTTGTTTTTAAATCATGTTTTTATTATTTTTTAGATATTATTTTTTTTGTTCGTTAATTCCCAATGTTCTTGTATCTTTTTTTTTTGTTCTTCGTTTATTTAAAATTACTGTTCTCAATACTTTTTTTATTTGTCATTTTTTAGATTTTAGGTTTTGTTTTTTTACCTATTTCTCTGTTGGTTCAGAGTATCTAGGAATTTTTTGTTTTTTTTTTTATTTAAAATTACTGGTTCTCAATATTTTATTTTATTATAGTTTTTTAGATTTTGTTTTTTCGCAATTGATTCTGAGTGTTCTTGTATCTTTTATTTTTGTTCTTTTTTAATTTAAAAACTATCGTTTATCAGTTTTTTCACTATTTTTAGGCGGTTCAACCATGAGACACACCTCTCCGTGGTGGTTGGGACGAGCAGAAAAATTAGTTTCTGAAACTAAGTTTCACAATATTTTTTTATATACGTATAATTTTGTAATTTTTGTATTCATAAATAAATAAAAATTAATAAAGTTATGAAAATAATAAAGTTTTGTGTTTGAAATAAAGTTATAAATTTTTGTTTAAAATGATATATATTTTTTTCTATTTTACGAATATCATAATAAATGTTAATAAATATCATTATTACTAATAAGTTGAAAATTTTACGTTTTAAGTTAAAATATAACCAGCATTATTGCTTTACTGAATGTTTAAAATCGATTTTTTAAAGTTAGCTAGGCGGTCGCGAGGTGTAGAAGTTTGTATGATAATAACATCTAATACACAATTTACGATTTTGGCGGTAGATAATAGACTATCTATTACCATCATCCGTTACTATTACCATATATTCGAATATGTCAATACTAAAAAGTCCTTTGAGCAAGTATTATACGCGCTAGCCAAAATTTAATACTGTTAAAAATTCTGAAAAGGTTCTCGAAATATTTACGTGGAATACGTAGCCTGCATAATAATCTGCGATACAGTTATGTTAAACTCAAATGGTCATAAAGTTACGTAACTGCGCACTTGATTAGTGTAGCACTGAGTTAATAGGAAGACTTTCATCTAAGCTACAATTTCGTTAGAACATTGCGGTGAATTTATGAAATGAGAGTATTTTTGACTCACTATGAAGTGCGTCAATTACTATTTATTTTTTTGACATTTCTTATTGCAAAATCATATAGTTAAAACGTCTAACCCATCTTTTTACGTGGAAGAAGGGTTAGACGTTATCTACATGATGTTACAATAGGAAATGTCAAAAAAAAAAAAACAAATAGTAAATGACGCGCTTCGTAGTGAGTCAAAATACTCTAATTTCATAAATTCGTCGTGATGATAGATTTTTATTTCTCTTATAAATTGAATTGCTATTTCAGTTTAAAGTTTATATGTAATCAGGTCTATATCGATATGTATTTTCGACTAATTAAAATTGGGTCATAATTGGTTACATGATTCTCAAATTTTGCGCTTTAGAAATAATATGGATATTTTTTGCAGTCTGATACTGTATAATAAATATTATAAAAATATAGATCAAAAAGGAATCAGCATGAAGTATTAAAAAGATAGATTTAATAACTAAAGAACTTTAGCTTATTCATCTATAATAAGTATTTTATTATATATCGATATATTAATCATTATGAAATCTATTAGTTGGTCTTTTTTTTTTATTAAATTTCCCAGAATTTATGAAAACAGCTACGTATACCAATCTGGTTGACCGGCCTGCATCTGCAAGTTTCATCGGCTTGTATCATTAATCACTAATGACATTTCCCATATTAGATACTTCTTGACAACGAGTAAATGCATTCTTTTCACTTTCAACTCTAATACTATTTTGACAACAGTAATCAATGTCATGATTTTACTAGTATTGTCCATGTCTGCAGATTTTTAAAGATAAATGAGTGCTTTATGCTCATCTTTTTCTACTCTAATTCTATTTCGATAACAATGTCGAAGATTGTTCACTCCATTTGCATTATCTATTTAACAGGCTTTTCATGATAGTTGAATGCCCTTCATTAACTCCAATTCCATCATTATAACAACGTGCAAGATTATTCATTCCATCAGAATAGCCCATATTGGCAGATTTTTGATAACAAACGAGTGCTTTAAAGTTATGCTAATTTCGATTCGATAATAATTTTCAAGGTTGTTCATTCCACAAGCATCACCCATATCTGTAGATTTTTTGTAATAGATGAATGCCTTGTGTTCATCAGCATTCCTATCTTGGTAGTTTTTTATAGTAATGAATGCCTTTCGTTCATCTTTTTCAACTCTATAAAAATATCCATCCCATTAGCATGTCCCATACCGACAGATTTTTGGTAATAAATAAATACTTTATGTTCATCCTTTTCAAACCCATGCCATTTCAGTAACAACCAAGGTCATTTATTCACCATATGTTCGTCTTTTTCAATTCCATTTCTTTTTCGATCATAATCAAATGTCTTACGTTCATCCTTTTCCATTTTATAAAAATTTCTAAGATTATTTATTGCTTTAAGATTTTTTTTGATAATAAGTAAATAACTTCCAATTATCCTTTTTAATGCAAATCCCTAACAATTACTTACTTGAAGTATTCCTTCAGAATCACCCATCTTTGCAGATTATGAATGCTTTATTTTCATCCTTTTCAACACCAATTCCATTTCGATAACAATTGCCAATTTGATATCCCATTTGGATCACTCATTTCAAAAAAGGTTTTTATATTGAAGAAACAGATCATTTTTAGTTGATTCTCTTTCATTTACCATGCTGAGTGTAATAAAGTTAAAGTTTTTAATTTTATGCATATAATTTCAGATTTAAATTATTTCTAAATCTGAATTTATGACTTTCTAAAGTTCTGTTTGGCAGTATATTGTTCCAAATATAGAGTAAAAATAGTGAATTATTAAAATTGCTTTTACATTTATTTTGTTCGGTATAAGTTACAAGACTCAAGTCTGTTATGTGTGCTTGATAAATGAATTTGACACTATTTAAGTGGTATGTGCTACAATATATTTTGCTAAGTATGGTTACATTAAACAACATGCAAATTAATATCCTTCACACTTCATTGATATTCCTATCTATTAACAGTTCACAATTCTTATATTTGTAAACTTTTCTACTTCCTACTTGAATGTTTCACAAACAGAACAAGTCTTGGAAGATGGGCCTCATCTTGCATAATAACCTTCACACTAATTTTTTTGACCAAAGATTAGAACTGGTTTCAATAATTCGAATTTATCATATAAATTTTGGGATATTCTATAATGTATCAAAATTTATAAAATTTAATTGGATAAATTTAATGCTGTCAAGGAAAACCTGTCAATGAGATTTCAATCATATTCTTTGTCCAAAATTTCATCTTAAAAAAATATATCATCAAGTTTAAACAATTATATTTTACAAATATGATTAAAAGCCTGATGATAGATTTTCTCTAAATGACACTCTGAAAACAAGCACAAAATATAATTGATGTAATAAACTTAAATTATTAAAACCTTTTTATCTTTGGTCTTGGATTTCAGACTCTATCTAAACATGTAGTGAGACCAGATTAACATTTTTCGAACAACTTTTAAGGTAATCTTCCTATGTTTTCTTTTCACTATATTGAAGATATTAAATTTAATAATTATCCTAATATCAAAATTCTTTATAAAATAGTTCACCATTTTCTTGAGAAACTCATTCCTAAGATTCCTTTTTTTTCTAAAAATCCTTAACATCACCTTATTCAGTCTCTTGATCTCCTTTTTCTTTCTCTTCGAAGTTGAGATAATCAACTTATTCTTCACTGAACTTAACTTGTTTATGTTATTGCTGACCTCATACATTTCTTCCATTGAGGAGGGAATAGATAGATAAAAGTATATTTTAAGATAATAAAAAAATGATTGTGTTGATAGCGTTTTTTTTTCTTAAAAAAGAAAAAAAATGGCTAGAAATAATTGACACTTCTAATTATATTATGAGATAGAAATTAAGTAATTTTTGAAATTCATAAAAGATTTTTTTTTGATAAAATCTTTTTGAATGAACTTGGTTATGCATTCAGATTAACTGACAGAATTCTTACAGAATTTTGTTATCAAATTTTAAATACTGATTACATAATGATCTTGGTAATTATGCTAGAACTGTTGATTATTTACCTACACATAATTTTCGACTTCAGATATAATGCTTTTATGTTATTAAAGCTATGGCAAAATTTCATAAACAGAGCATAAATGATGAAGATACAAAAGACAATTTTTTACATTTTTACACATGAATATTTATTGGCTAAAGGAATAAAGGCAGAGGATGTGGTAAAATATTACATAGGTGTGAAAATACCAATTCCCAAAATATCCAAATTTCAACTGACATCACTGATAAGAAAAATGAGTTTCTTGTACTTTTTTCTTGTTCAATTTTAATTACAAATAAAATTACTACAAATCAATATTTCTTATACACTACAGAATTAATATTGCTTACACTAAATATAATGAATAAAGGAAAAAATTTTACAACTCTTGATTATCATCATCATATTCATTTAACAGAACATCATTAGGATCATCTTGAGAAACGGGCCTATATCTATATCGGTTGCCAGATCTTGGAACAGAAATCTTTGAGAGGATTTGTGAAATAATGTCCATAAATGATTCAAACATATTTAATAAAAATGACTGAGAATCTGCCATAGGATCGCCAAGGCGAATGCGTCTATTTTTTTTTTTAAAAAAAAAAAAGTAAATCAAAAATATTATTAATATGCATAATAATATAAATATATTCGACTAGAATATAAAAATAATACCAACCCTTGAGATAAATATGAGTATCTATTGCGTTTCCTATACATACAACATGCAATAATAGCTCCAACAACAAGGATGACAATTAACCAATTAATGCCAGAATTACCGTTACTATGAGGACATTCATAAGGTTTGCCTAAGTATATTTCTTCACCACCAGAGCATGTTGAAATAGGAATTTTGCGGAAGCTAAAAGGCGTTTAATTTTCTTATTAATGGATTCAATGCAGTAAACTTCAAAACGATAAAACTTACCGGGAATCATTGTACCAAAATTTCGCACCATCAGCACACATTTCTTCAATAGTTAGCTTCAAAGGTGAGGTACCATCAACCAATGAGCAATTATTATTTTTATCTCGAACATAGTTGAAGCCACTGAAAATTGTCATTTAGAATCAATTATTTTTAATGGCTATAAAAACAAAGTAGGATAAAATTTTCTTCTCACCATTCAAAGTCGTATTCTTCGCATTTGCAATTTTCTTGAGATTTTTTCGATTGTGAGAAACTTTCATCGATATAACAATCACGTCCAAGGTTCCTCCGGTAATATGTTGTCTTTAAAAAACGTCAAATAGATTTTAGTCAGCAAATAAAAAGATCAATAAATTCATCTGTGATTATATGAAATGTACCTTGTGGCCAAACAAACAATCATTTTGATGTCCCGTATGTCCCGGATGTGTAGGCTTCCATAAGTCAAAATCTTTTTCAAGTTCACCTGTTTAAAAGATAAAATTTGAGCATTCTTGTCGATTAGAATAATTTGATAAAATTGCTTTATCATAATTGTGAAAATTTTCAATACATTTAGCGCTCAATTTTTGAGTAAAATCGAGATAAACCACCACTTCTTTAGCATAACTGCCTTCAGGACGTCCTCGCAAAAGGAATGTAAGTTTAGTACCATTCGGATGTGTTAAGATGTCATGAACTTTAATGGGTTTGTCTGTTGTGAACTCATGTTCTGTCCAAGTTTTGCCCTCATTGAAAGAATAGCTAATTGTTATAAAGAATTAGATAACATTAAAACATATTTAGACTAAAAAAAAAAAAAAAAAAAAACAAACTTACAGAATATGCTTTGTGGGTGCTTCATCATCTACTAAAACCAGAATAGAACCTTGACCTCCAAATCCGTACATATAAGCACCTTTTTTAACTTCAGTCCATGTGACACCAGCATCTCTGGTTAAGAATGTATCGCCATCCAAGTAAGGAGAAAGATAGTCGCCAACATTGCCTACACCAATCATTAATCCTACAGCTGAAGATGAGCTAAAGGAGTCTCGAGGATCTCTCCGTTCCGTATAACTATGAAGATGTAAGGAGCAACCCTAATAAATAATAAATAAATATCAGTTAAATTAATTACGCTAATAAAAAAAAAAAAGCGCGAATAATGAGAAATTATAATTACTTACATTACAATTATATGGTTTACCATCTGAATCACTTGTGGGTGGAGTCAACTTTTGCCACGCACCACCTAGAATTTTTATAAAAAGATTAATTTATAAAAAGCTTAGTATATCAAAGCAGTATTCTTAATTTATTAGTTACCATCATTAAATGTAATTCTTGATTGAAGCTTTTTAGCTGAATCACCAATGATTACTTCATTAGTGTTACTAACTACATTAGCTAGGGCAATTCCTTCTATCCCTTGCATCTTTTCAAAATCAACAAAACCTTCCTCATCACGATTGACATATTCCAGAGAAAGAGAATAATAAGTTCCATTGTAATTTGATTTCATTATATTCCCCCATAGATTATGAGGAGCTGTTGCATGTAATATGATAGAACCAGTTGTAGATTCTAAAATTGTAAATGCCTTAAAAAGTATTTGTGTAAATCAAGTAAATGTAAGTAAAATTTATTATTGGACTCGGATCATTTATTTAATTAAATGAGAAAATCACGGTGTTCATTAAATAAACCAATTACCTTATTTTGTACATCCATGTTAGGTGGATACTGTGTTTTTGCAAATTTTTCACCATCCATAGATACCCAAAGTTGAAGTTGCTGAGTAGGCAACAACTGTAATTTGATAGATAAGTAAAGAAAAACATTGTTAAATAGAAATTTGCTCAAATTAAGTCAAATTTCAAACACACCCATCATATGAGTAAAAATAAATATATAGAATCTTTTTCAACAATATATAAAATTAGACAATTACAACGTAGAATTTCATACCTCGGCAACTACCATAAACTTCTCAAATGTAACAAATCCGACAATATTGTGAAATAGTATATTTTTATTTGCCCCAAAATCTCTTGTTGACCACAATTGAAGTGGATTATCGTAAGATGACTTTTGCGACCCAGTTTTCTTAAGATAAGATTCACAAAATATAAGATCGTCATTGACATTAAATTTGCTATCACGTGCCCACGTGCAAATTCTAGAATATGTATCCAGTTGATTCCAACGTTTACCATTATCTTTAGTATAATAAGCCTAAACAAATAGTATAAAATAAATTACCAAAAACTTTGAAATACTTATTATACACGATTGTATGTATATAATACATACAACTGAGTGGCAATTAGTAGAGAATGTACTTTCACATCCTTTACTCGCTGTATAAATAAGCCATCCAGGTTTTTTTGGATGAAAATCGAGAATTGGTATGCCAAGAATGTTGGGCACCAAATTTACACTTATAGGATTAATAGTTTTAGCATAATCCTCTGTATAATATAAAGTATTGGAAAGATTTGCAAAGTATGCCTAAAAAACGAAAACGAATGGAACATTTAAGTTAAATGATATATAAGTATTGAACCAGGCAAAAGCTTTAGATTTCGTACACGATTATTAAAATAAGGGTTTTGGAACATTGCAAGAACATTTTTGAGTTCATCTACGCGTTTCCATGAAGATCCTTGATCTATACTCTTCCAAACTTGATTATTTACACGAATGAGGATTGTGCTTGTATCCATAAAATATAAGTAATCTGTAATTTGAGAATCAAAGGTTGTCTGAAAAAAATATTAGCTTTATAGACTTGTAATAAACGAACATAGAATTTAAACCAAATAAATACCATCTTTGTTTTAATAATATCATCATTAACTAATAATAGATAAATAATAAGTTAATATACAGTATTTTTGTAAGCTTGATAAACTTCAGTTTAAATTCATCATAAACATATACTTGTATTACTGAAATTGCTATTTAATTGTTCTGTTAAATCTACTTCTCCTTCAAATTTGCATTTACCACCTTCACGCGAATAACCATCACTAATGAAATAGTCATTTGGACTAACTATTAGATGAACCGTCATTTAAAAAATTGATAGATTATAATAAATAATAGAAGACAAACCATTTTTCTTTATTTTCATATTTCTGAAGATCAAGAATTTCCTTTCTCCGCTCGCCTTTGCTCCGCAAATAGGTCACCTAAAAGTGAAGTTTACTCAATGTTAAATGATATATTTACAACACCATTTTAATTAAAAACATACAAAGTCAATCTTGAATAATGTATTTCATGAATCTATTTACCTTTTCACCCGAAAAGCGCTCATGATCAGAATTTGTCATTTCAAAACTACACTCTTAATCTTGTTAGAATTAATTGTGGAAGAAATCTTTTTTATTGGCTGTTGTGTCAGATGATCATCATCAAATATGATTGGCTGAGATTTTTTTGGTTCTAAAATGGTTTAAATATAGTAACGGTAATTAATTCGTCGTTGCTAAAACTTACTTGGAGCACCAAAAAGTAATTTTTTGTCTCGTTGCAGGTTTAATTGATTTATCGTTAGTGGATCGCCAATCATTAGGGTTAGGATGGGAAAGCCACGGAAATCACCCTTAGCGTTAGTCACCATAGAACATTATAGGGGGATCTCCAAAATTCCGGGTCGGAACCATAACCATTCCTGGGCCAAAATTATCAGTTGGGCAGCTTTACTTAATGAGTGAGCTATGGTTTCATTAGTAAAACTTTTAGTGATCTTGGGCAAAATTAGTTAATTCCGGCCCTGCCGATCATGATTCCGAAGTATTCCGACCAGGAATTTTGGGAATCCCCCTGTATGAGTTCAACATGGTCATATTAACTACCAGATAACATCTTTATTGAACATACGTACGACAAATAGCGGGAAATTTTTTTTTCATCAGAGTTAATTTCATACATATTAATATCCGAATAAATTTCAGATCCGGATATCTAATGGATAGATGGATAATGGATAGCACTAAATCTGATTTATACTTTTATCTGTAACACATTAACGTTAACTAATCTAATAAATATAGCGCACATCAAAGCTTAAAACATATTATATATACAGAGGGATCCCCAAAATTCCGGGTCGAAACCATCGAATTTAGCCCAGCATTTAGTTAGCATTTGGTAATACAAGGTAACTATTTCTAGGCCAAAATTATCAGCCGGGCAGCTTTACTTAATGAGTGAGCTATGGTTTCATTAGTAAAACTTTTAGTGATCTTGGGCAAAATTAGTTAATTCCGGCTCTGCCGATCATGATTCCGAAGTATTCCGACCCGGAATTTTGGGGATCCCCCTGTATGAGTTCCCCAGTATGAGTTTAACATGAGTAAAGTGCGCAAATTAAAAGTTTAAATAACCTATCGACTTCTAATAAGACTTACTGTAAAAGAGAACAAATTTTTTAGTAAAATGCAGGTTATACAATTTCGATATATTTTTTTTAGAAAAAAACTTATAAAACGGCATTAAGAAAATGGATGAGAACGATATTTCCGTCATCACATCATTTTTGGTTATTAATGTAAACTGCCAAAATATTAGGCCAACATTACGAACGTGTTAGGTAAATTCAAAGATTAGTGTAATGTAACAAAAATAAATCTCCAGAATATTTGTCATTATGGAAGGAAGAAGAATTCAGCTCGAGTTATCTTTATTCGAAAGAGGTAGAATTAAGTAAAAAAACTATCTTTTAAGGAAGAATGTGTTGAACAATAGCACGGTTAAAGAAACGACATATTGTTTGCTTCGCTTAAAGTAATTATAATATACTAGTGAATTATTTGTTTAGTTAATATCAAAAGCAATTTTTGAACTTATGAGAATTTTTTTTTTAATACTTTATGAGAATATAATCAGACGGTGATTGAAATTAGTGACTTAACCTGTCACAGATTACTGACGTGCCAAACATTCAGACCCTTACGTAAATTTGCACATCCCAAATCTGTGACAGGTTACGCCGATAATGTCAATTCATCTGTCTGACCCTTACCCTAGCGTCGGTCTTAAAACTATATCCTGATCGATTTATTTAATTAATTAAACTTTGAGTAATTATTAATAAACTTCGATTGTGTAATTATTACAACATATTCAAATAAAGAGAGTATATAATATACGATCTGTATATGCTTCTTTTTGCTTCTTTTGTTCTTTCGCCTAAGCAGTTTTTTTTTCGTCTGCTATATTAAAAAAAAGCCAGTAATTTTCATAATAATAAATACCGGTATACAAAAAATCGATTAATTAAAATTTACTTAATATGGAAAATGATACCATAAATAACCCGCAGATTAAAACAACTTCTAATTTTTTTGTTAGGAAATATAATTTAATTATCATTATTACAACGTTTATATACAAATTACAGAATTAGTATTTATTAAAAGATTACTATATTATCTTATTAATTTTTAGATATTTTCTTAGGATATGTTGCCAGAGTCTCTGAAACCAGTACTTTCATCAAATTATTCTTATCTCATTCAAAGTTTCAACGAAATGTCAGCATACCAGATACCAGAAAACTTTGAAATTATGAATTTTGAGTTAGATGTATTTGTGGATATTAACATGAAAGAAGATGCATCTAAATAGATTGTGGCATTTTAAGCTTTTACAAAAATGACAATGCCACAAACGTGAGGTTATGAAATAAAAGAAAACTGTGTTCTTTTTCATGAGAAATGTCATTGTATTCACAGCTACAAGGTGAAGAAAAAGCAGGGAAATATTGAAGTAAAACATTACCAATCATCTCATGTACGAGATATTAACTGTACTGCAACAATCCACATACAATTAGAATGTCGACGACTTCTACTTACTCATCTGTTGAAAATTAATCTAAAATGTACACATAATCATGTTGTTAACTCAGCAGAAGCATTAAGTTTTCGACAAGTTAAAGAAAGTGTTCATAAGAAGTTAATAAACTAATTTAAAAAAGGACACTCACCTTCTTCAGTGCTACATGCATATATGGATAAACTGCACCTCAGCATTGAAGATTAGTAAAGATTATTGGAAATTCTTGCAGACCGTGCACATAATCCTAATTATGATTATGTGTACAATTTGTTTTAATAATATAAGAATGAGATACTTGGAAGCCACAATGATGCATCAATGTTCAAGTGTTTAGATATGGTTGTGGAAAATTACAATAAATTGGGATGCAAAAAAGCTATATTACAGGTAATGAAAAAATTTTTTTTTTAAAATTTTTATTTCTTATTTTTAATTTAATTTAATTTAATTTTTTTTTAATTTCAATTTTTATTAACATTTACAATTCTTGTTATTAATTGCAGAAATACAACTCACATAATAGAACAGCTTTTATTTTTTGCATTGTAACGAATTTAATATATCACATACATCAAAAGATTCACCAAGCAAGAGAGCTATGTTATGTAGATTCGTCAGCATCCTTTGACCCCCTTAACACCTCAGTAACACTTTTGTATACCAGTTGTCCTGTCAGTGCTCTTCTTCTTGGACTTTTTCTTACCTCAGATAAATCTAAAATAACCTACAAAAAAGCATTTAATTTATTGAAAACAATTCTTTCTATGGATGCTTTTTTTGGACGTGGAGTGCAAGTTGGGCCAATGGTTTTTTTAACAGATAACTTAAGTGTAGAGCGTAATGGCCTAAAAATTTGTTGGCCTCAGGGAATTTGTCTTTTATATACATTCTATTTTTTACAACTATTCTGAATGTGAATTCATGATGCAAAACATAAGATCAATAAAGAAGATCGGCCATTAATTATAAATGAAGTAAAGAAAATTTTATATGTGCTATCAAGTTTAGAAATGGATACGTATTATAATGAATTCCATCAAAAATTTTATAAATATACACAACTGCTAAATTATTTTAGGCTTTTATAGAAATGACGACAGTTCTGAACCTTGTTGTTTTGTTCAGGTTTACCTATACAAAGTAATAATACGAATAATTATATTGAAAGAAGCTTTGGTATAATAAAAGATATAATATTCGTGAGAATGCAAGCCTACAATCCTATCCAAGTATTTCAATTTATAACTTCAATCATGGAAAGATTCTATAAGAGGCAACTACTTGGGATCATACATAAGCATCCAGGAGTTTTACACATTGCAAAACAATTTTTGTGCTCTGGATAGGAAACTGTAAATGCTGATATGATTCAAAAAACTAATGTAAACAATGAATTTTTAGTATTAAGTACAATGGAGAATAATATTTATGTTGTTAACAGTGAAATCAGTTCCTGCTCCTGCCCAATCGGAATGTCTAGTGCTTCTTGTAAACACCAAGGGGCAGTTTCAATGAAATATCATATTTTTGTGACTAATTTTATTCCATCGTTAAATCCAGATGATCAGATGGTATATGCTTATATAGCACTTAGCAAGTAGTTCAATACTTTTTTATTTTTAATTTTATTTTAGGTGCTGTTCAAATAATTTATTACATGGAATAATAACGATTCAAAAATTGTACTTATTTATTTTGCTTTTTTTTTTATTTTTTTATTTTTTTTTAGGCTATGCTTCTGAAAACAAATCATTCTATGTGTCTTTACATGCACAACCCACAAATAAAAACACATATATTGAAATAAAAATAGCAAGAGATAGTTTGACTAATGAAACGTCTGATGATAATTAAAAGTAAGTTTTTTCATTTTACTGATAACTTTCAAAAAAAAAGTCTAATAATCTTATTTTTATTAGCTTTAGCATCTTAAAAGAAATGAAAGAAAAAACCACAGAAATTGATCTTTCTGAATTTACTTCATTTTTAGAAGTTATAAAATCAGATTATCAGAATGCCGATCAAACATTATGAACTGTGTTAGATAAATTTAAAGATCATTATATTGCAGCAAGGTCAAAATCCACCTCCCGATTATCTTCTTTTCTTTACAATCTTAATTGCAATCTCGATCCGATGGTCTAAGTTAAAGGTAGTACACATATATGAGTACAGGTCAAGTTAATTAAATAACGCAAACATAAGAAAAATTTGAATCCTCAGGCTATGTCTGCCTAAAAAAAAAGAAAAGCGAATAAAAAAGAATATAATTTAAGCAAGAATGTGCTTAATAATCAGCTAAACTAAATAGCTGTATATAGATTCATAGAATTTGCAAATGTTACTTTGCTTTTGTTTTTTTGCTTCTTTTTCATAAATGTAATTTGCTTGAATAATAATAGGCTTAATTAAAATGTTTATTAATGCTCTTAATATAATATGAAATAAATATATTTTAGTTCAAATGTTGGTATTTGACTTCAACTCA